TTGATCTGGAGCTTTCTAGCAGCCAAGTGGGCTTGTGTTGATGTCTGTGGCTCCTGTCATCACTGGGGCTCTATAGGGGCCTGAGGTATGGACCACTCCATACCCTTGGTATGATGTTCAAGGGTAATGTTGTTGCAGGGTCTAGGTCAATGTGGGTGGCCTTCACAACCACTTAGGGCCATGGTGACATCCAGCCCAGGGTGCTGCCAAGGTCTATGTCTGGGTTCTTGGTCCTACCATAGCCAAGGTCTGTATTGATATCTGTGGCCCATGTTGCCACCAATCACATAATGATCACAACCTGGAATGCAACCTGTGACCATGAGGGTGTTAAAGGGCTAGGCTGCTACCAGGAACACCCTAATCTGAGGGACCTGTACTATTGGCAGGGCAATGGTTTCATTAATGCAAGGGCTGTGGCAGAGGGCAATTTTCTGAGGCTGTGGCCCTATAACAGCCAGGGTCTGAGTTGATGTCTTAGGCTCCTGTTGTCATCAAGGGCCATGCAGATGACAGTGGTCTTGATGGCCACCTGAGACCATGTCAGTGTCCAATTACCATGCCATGCCCATGGCCATGATGATCTGGGTGGCAAGCGCTGCCACCCGAAGCTATGAAGACATCCATGCATAGACTGTTGCCTAGGGGCATGTCTGGGTCTGTGGCCCTGTGGGAGGCTGGAGTCTGGGGTGGTGTACATGGTTCCAGTTGCCACTGAGAGTCCTGTGGATATCTAGGGTCTGGCCAGCCACCTGAGACCGTGTTGATACCTACGGCCATGCTGCTGCTGTGGTCATGCTGATCTGGGTGGCATGAGCTATCACCAGGATACTGGTGTTATCTTGACCTGACTTGCTGAGAGTCATGTCTGGGTCTGTGGTTCTGCTGTAGCTCGGGGTCTGTGGTGATGTTCTTGACCCATGTTAGCATGGGGATCATTGGAACAATGCTGTGTCTAGCTGGTCTTGCCCTTCACTGGACCTGAAAAGACTGGTCCTGACCCTTCCTGGAGATCTTTACAGGAGCTTCCTCCTGCACTCAGGAAGGAGGGCCTGATCTCATAGGCATTCACCTCACCTGGGAAGCACAATAGGTTGTGAAAAAAACAGGGGAGCTGACCCGGCTCTCCCTTGTCTACCATGTGCTGTCATGGGTGAGGGAAAGTTGTCTTTCCCAAGTCACCCATTACCACCTGCAGGAGGTGAGAGAGCTGACCCTGTGGTCATAACAGCAGAAGAACTAACCCTGACCCTCAAGGACTGCAGCTCTCTAGAAAGTAAACTCTGCTTCCTATCTAGGCAACACACTAAAACTGGCCCTTTTGTTGGGAACACAGGTAAGCCAGCCCTCAGTGCCTGAGAGCAACAAAGCTTACCCTGTCCATTCTTGTCTGCCATGCAATGGCATAGGTGAGAGAAAGATGCCCTCCCCCCTTCTTTCATCTGTCACAGGTGAAAGAGCTGGCCTTGTGAATGGGTCATAAGAATGAGAGAACAAGCCCTGCCTTACACCAGCTACAACACTTAGGAGAAGAGGCCATGCAGTCCACATGGGCAGGAAATCAGAACTGACAGGTTGTTGGGGTTGCAGGGGAGCCAGTCCTCAGGACATTAGAGCAGGAGAGCTGATCCTGCCCTGCCCCCTTCAAATGCCCCCTAAAGCAATCAGGAGAGAGGGCCATGTGACTGACCTGGCCAAGGAGTAGGCCTGGCCCTGGAGATACCAGTGAGGAGGATCTGGATTTGAGGGCCTCAGAGCAGGCACACTGGCTCTTTTCTATAGGCTGCATTGGGTGAGATAACTGAGCTGGAAAGCTCATTTAGGCAGTAAGGATGAGGGAATATTCTCCAGCTGACCAGGACAGCTACCACCCAGACTCAGAACCAAGTCTCTGAGTTGGCCCACCCCAACATCTAATGAATCTATGAACTGCTGGGGCATGTGAAGGAGACAAACCTATGGATTCACATTACCAGGGTCTCCATGACACAGGACAAGATACCCCAAAGATTCTCAATAGGAGCCCCTTATTGATGGTATAACACTAACCAAAGTTCGTGGGCCAGACCAATGGCTTGTGGCAATGAATAATTATTTAAAGGTGAATGAACTAAAGGGTAAATTATGTGACTCTGTAGGCTACACTACAGCTTCCATATTAAGATTATTCTTTTTTGTTTGTGATTTGTTTGTTTTTGTCTATTTTGTCATTTTTCTTTTAAATTTTATTTTGTTTAGAGGTCAAGGTTGCAAGGGCAGAGGGAGGAAGCAAAGGGACAGGGAGATAAGTGGGATCAGAATTCGTGATGTGAAATCTGCAAAGAATCAATAAAAGTAATATTTAAAAAACAAAACAGCATTGAGACGGTTATAGATTATGGGGACTCTTAAAGTTAGACTCAATGTATTTTTTTGGCATTATGCTATGGCTATAATCTTACAATAGCCAGATAGTGGTATGTGGTGACTGAAATGAGAATGCCCCCATAGGCTCATGTATCTGAATACTTAGTCATTAACTAGTGGCACTACTTCATAAGGCTTAGGAAGTATGGCCTTGTTGGAGGAATTGTGTCACAAGAGATACATTTTGAGACAGCAGAAGTCCAAGCTAGATATATTTTCTCTCTTCTTCCTGCTGCCTGCAGATTTGGATGTAGAGCTCTCAGCTTCTCTAGGATCATGTATGCCTGCATGCTGCTATGCTCTGTGCCATGATGACAATAGACTATAAACCCCTGAGACTGTAAATAAGCACCAAGTAAATGCTGTCATTTATAAGAGTTGCTGTGGTCATAGTATCACTTTACAACAAAAGAACACCGACTAAGACACAGCACACACACACACAAGCACACACAGTGAAAACATCCCATCAATTCTTAACCCTAACCCTAACCCTAACCTTAACCCTAACCCTAACCCTAACCCTTTCATTAAATTAACATCAGTTTTTATCAAACTCATGGTGTACTGTCCATCTTCCTTTCTTATACTCCATTATGAGCAATTTCCAAAGTCCCCAGGTAGTTATACTCTAGACTTATATGTGGACTTTCACTCTGCGAATTTATATGTGTTAGTTATAACTTGGTAGTTCTTAATAGGTAAATCACAGGACTGTTACAAGGAAAAAGATAGATATTCTACTTACCTTAATATGAAATCTTGATCAGCAAAAGTGTAGTACAATATAGTAAGGCACATGTTGTGATGGGCAGCAATGGACCACGTGAGTGAAAACTTCAGAGGGCAAAGACCCAGAGAGAACAGGTTGGCTTGCTCAGGGGTTGTACTTTCTAAAATGCTATGTATCTGAGCAGATCTTGGTCCTGTGCCATGCTCTCAGTATGACCTACTCTTGCTCAGATCAGAATGGGAGACTAGCTCTATGAAACTGTCTATGTCACTGAAATATACAATGTATTTCCTCAGGTCTCCATTGTCTTCATTCTTTTCTGAATCACATTATACCCTGGAA